GCAGCGGATTTTAGTTTTAGTTTTAGTAAGAGTTTGACGGCACTTGCGACACAATAAGGTCATAAAAGTGCCGAAGATTAGAGATATTACAAGATTGTAACAAACACAAAATAGAAGGAGGGGAGATAAGGACGATAGATGTTTGATAGGAAAGAAGTGTTGGTTTTTTCTGAAGGTCTTATTTTGGAAGGATTTACTGATTGAAGAATATAGGCTACTGACTGAAGGATCTGCTGATTCTACCTGGCCAACTGGGCTTTCTACTTTCTGGTGTCTTCATTAACTATTTGAGTAGGTGGTTGGCAGGTGCTCTTATGTGGCTCGCTTCTTCTTTCCTATCAAACATCTATCATCCTCATCTATTCTCTCCTTCTTTTCTTCGCATGTTTGTCTCTTCTAACTTCTCTTGTCTTCAAAACTTAAAGAACCTTTCTGCGTTGAAAGAAAGTGCTGTAAAATTAACTCTTTTGAGTACGCGTGTCTGCAACAACGCTCGAACACGTGCTGTTATTGGCCACTTTCAAAACGAAGAATAATCTTCGACTTTCATACAAACATGATTATTTTTTCATCTTTGTTTTCTTTACGTAACGCTTGAAAAGATAGGGAACATTATGCATGCTGTGCAGCGTACACATATTCGTTGTTTTTTTGTTTTGTTTTGACTTGTGTTTGAAGGTTCAAAAGTAGCGGAACGTTGACTTTGGTCTGCTGCTGAGAGGACGCCTGTGTCCACTACACTACTGTGGAATTGATGTTGCTATTGCTGGTAAAAGCCAGCAGAAATTGTTGGCGATTTCAATATCGTTGAATTAAAAAAAAAAGAAAGTGTTTTTACACCCCCATCGAGAACACAATTTTTGTTTATTTAGGAGCCAGGCTTCGAACCTGCCTGTCAGGGCCAACGCTGGATGAGAAGTACAGTCGAACCTGTGTAATACGGTCACCCATTGTCAGGAGAAAAGTGACCGTATAGGACAGGTGGCCGTCTTAGACAGGACTGATCAAGAGGAAGAAAACAAACCATTTCTTTCTGAGGTTCCAACCGCTTTGTTTTTATTGCTGTTATTGTTGTTGTTGTTTTCGATGGCTTTTTTCTTTCTTTTTTCCCCCCTTTTTTTCTACTTTCGTGCAAGGGTAACATTAGTGACAATATAACGAAGTGTGTCAGACAAGGAGGACCGAGTGCCACGGTAAAACAAACACATTGGTCGCCACCACTCGGAGAACGAGCGACGCTTGTGTCACAAGTTCATGTTTACGTCCATTGTTACTTTGTTACAGACTGGGTAAACAGTGACCTATCATCTCACTCACGGTTTGCGTATAAGTTCTGGGCGGGACTTGCGGGTTATAAGGGATCACACACTTCCCTCACCAGCAGCTGAAAATTAAAATTTGTGACCTTTGGTCACCAGGGGGAGGGGCCTACGCAACATGATCGGTTGGAGGGACTACCTCCCAACAACAACAGGTGATTGGATTATGACGGCTCGCCCACAACGTCAGGGACAAATACATAGTTTAAGACAAAAAGTAAATGTGGCCGTCTAAGACAGGGGTTATTGTTTGTTGTGATTAGGGTTATGTGTTAAAATATGGTGGCCACGGCCGCGTTGGACAGGTGCTCGTTTTACACAGTTAAATTATATCGAAAAAACGCAGGGGGGG